TAGTTTTCTTTTAACACTTGAAAGTCCTCTTTCAGGAGGATTAATATTCCAATATTAAGTATGCTTTGTGGTGATTTCCAGTTGTTTTATTTTTTTTTATTTATTCTTCCTTAATTTTTCACTATTCAGGATGGCACTGCGGCATCTGGACCAAAGGAGGCCAATGCAATAACGACAAAGTGTGCTGATATGACACTCCTGAGTCTAAGGCAACAGCCGCAAGCACAGGAAAGGTGCTAATGGTGGTCAAAACGTCGTGTCAGTGCTAGATGGCCCACTGGTGCCGAATGGTTCATAGGTCAACACTCAGTCACTGAGCCACGCCAGCTGGGGGTGTGCAGTCCCTTTTGGAAGTAAGCGTAACTCTGGTATGGCTGTAACTCCGCCAGGACTGTCCTCTATCTTTAAACTCATGATTTCACTTTCCTAACCTGATAAAAGGCTCTGTGTTGGATGACACATGGGTGTAGGATGATTACACAGAAGCCATCAGAGAGACAAGACTGTCTGCTCTTATTAGACGTGATGGCTAGGCAAGACATATGCTACTGATCTGTAAAATCCATGCGGACAAAAAAGCTTTAAATTGGGTTAAGGTGACTTAAGGCAGAATTCAAGATGCCAGTTGCCTCAGAAATGAAACTGCTGACTTCTCTCCAAAGTCTTCTCCAGTGAGGAGGGCAGGAGCTCAAACCACAGAGATACACCATAGCATTGTAGCGAAGACCACACAACAAACAAATCCAATGTGAAGAGAGGGGTCAGGAACACAATGAGGAGGGTGAGGAAAAGTGAGGCCTGAACTCTTCTAAGAGGGAGGGATCCTAAAAGGGGCATGACAGTCACCCTACCCGTGGTAAAGCCACCAAGCCACTTCCTGTCTCAGTGGAAAGCACAATGTGCTGCTGGTATGAAGACAGGAAGAGCAAAATCAGGAATTTGTTTTTTATTGAAAGTAAAGGTCAAAGTTTTGCTCAGAGGAGGAACTTCGAATCTGTTTGGCAAGAAATAAGTAATACAAAAGGGCTAATTTAGATCTGAAAGCTCAAAGGTAACTTACTATAAAATATACCCTTTCTAACATAAGAACTTAATCCGGCCCTCATCATCATCATTATTAAAATAACCTACGAAGTGTTGCAGGTTGAACTTATCAATGAGGAGTTTTAACTGCTGGTCTGTTCTTCTGGAGGACATATTAGAAAACCAAATCAGGTGCCATTGTGCTTATTTTATCCTAATGCAGAGTCAGCCATGTCTTGGCAAGAGGTGATACAACATCCTAACCAGCGTCCCTTCATTACTCAAAGGTGGTACTGGCTGACCTTAGGTAGGCTTGTCTCCTTGAGCATCCCTGATGCCAGTGGATACCTTAGCTGGAGACGTTCATTCCTAGCTCCCCTCTCTGCAGTTCCCATCAGCAGACACAGCACTGACTGAGCTCGTCCTGTCCCTCAGAGACGTGGGGCTTCCAGGAGCTGTCAGCTCTGTGCTCTCCTTAACTTGCCTGCATGAGACACAGATCCAGGGCTGAACTGTGTGACCTTGAACCAGCCAAGACTAGAGCTGTTTCAGAACATTCTCAGGAAACAGCAAACGGAAACAGCAGGACAGCATGATTAGGAACTAAAGCATTTCTCCAAAATCTATGACAAGATGTATAATGCTAAATAAACACATCCCCCACCTCCTTGGTGCAGTCTTGAAGGGGATCCATTTTCCCGTAAGACTTCTCTCCCAAATGTCAACTCCATTTTAAATAAAATTGATCTTCACAGTTAAAATATCATTGTTGAAATGGGTGTTTTTTAAAATAACTGTCTTTCCATCCTAAAGCAATTGTTATTAATGATTTTATATATTTTTCTCCCAAGTGTTACTACACAGTTTCTTGTATGTGTTTTTACCATAGTTGGTGTTTCTCATGCATGTTTTTAGAATCTGGCTTTATTTCATGTAACATTTGAACAGAAGTAATTGACCCTGCTTTCACATAACCTTCATTTGTATCAGCTTTTCAAATTCTGCATAACACTCCGTCATTGGTTTCCATTTAGAGAACACCATCAAGAGGGACTTCTCTCCCTCTGCCTCTATTACTCCCTCCTCCTCTCTTTCCACCCCTCTTGCTTTCCTTTTCTAACAATTTGAATTGTTCTGCATTGTTCAATGGAGAAAGCTACCACTGCTGTGAGCACCTGGGTCAGCTCAGTGGAAGCTGGGACTCAAGACTAAGGAGCTCTGTGATTGAAAACATAAAATCTTTTCAACCTTTTATGACGTTGGGGAACTACATCAGTTCCAACAACAACCATTTCCTTTAGCCCAGGTGTCATAGAGAGGTGACTGATGGCATTGACGTTGGAGCAGAGCACTCTAAAGTTGGTAACATACTTTGTAGGGACACAGAGATAATTCTCTCTATAAGGTTTATCATTACTATTTTAAGATGGAATTAATACTTCCCTCTTCAGGATTTTTAAAAAATTTTAAATTAAATCTTTATTGTTAAGATTATTACAGTTGTTCCTCTTTTTCCACCCTTAGCTCCCCTCCACCCGGTTCCCACCCCGCCCT